ATATTTATATGGAAAAGAGGCACAAGGTAAAGAAGGCGGTTTTGATGAAAGCCGTGTTGTACACTTTCAAAGAAATCCTTCTCTTTGAAAAACAGAAAACTCTTGTTACCGTCAGACTAGGTCTCCGAGTTCAAAAAATTTAAGCTAATTCCTGCGTTTCAAAAAGAATTCAGGATATTCTCTCGCTCGAAGTGTTAACGACAATCTGTCTTCATGCCAACCTGTGTGTTTGCCTATGAAATATGTTTTTGTTTTTAATGTCACGTGCCTATCGAACTGTCCCCTCAGCACGGCTCTACTGGCGAATAAAAGGTGCGCAAGTCCCCAGCTAAAATAGTAAATACCTCGATTTATCGATCTACCCTGATTTCGGGACAGCATACTGCCTTTCCGGTTGTATTTTCGATTTTCTGTAAATATTCCACTGTTTAATATGAAAAATCGATTTGACAGACATATGCTTTCAGCAACTCTTCATCAGGCCAGTACATTTGCTGGCATAGTGAAAATGTTTCAGTTGGACAAGGTTAATAAATGTGCTTTGATTACAATCCACCGTTTTCACGCCGTTCGCATAGCGAGATCGGCGTGTAGAGGTGCTTGTGCTGGGGGAGGGTGTGAAGGGCGGAAATTGGGTTAGGTTGTGGACATTGGTCATGGGTCAGGTATATGGAGTGATAATTACGGTGATTTGCATGGAGCGAACTACTGTCACTAGGCTTAGGGACGATGTGCGATAGCCACTAGGCGCCGGGGTCGGCCAAGAAAGTGAAAGTACTTGTGTTAGTGTCTTCTGACAACACAGCACTGGATTCACTAGCCGTGTGGCCATAGCTTCAGGTGTTGCAAGCACCCGTTGGGTTTTGCAGTTGGAAGAATTAGTTGGTGTCCGGTAGAAAACCTGAAAGGTTTCATTAATATCAACTCCATGATTCGTGTGGACAAGGTGACCGAGAATAGAACTCGAGGTGGATCTAGTGTCACATTTACTTAACGGGCCGGTGTGTACTCACGTACCCTCTTTTCCGGGTGCCCCGTTGTTCGGCCGATGTATCCTGCTCCAGAAGGACAAGTGAAAGAATAAATGCA